GAACTGTGGGCCTGACTGGAAGTGGTGGTGGATTACTGATTAAGGAGTAGAGGAGGTCTAAGCCGTCAAAAGAGTTAATGACGTTGTGCAATAGCCGCTGCGCATCTGTCGCAAGTCAGTAGTCTGCAGCGATGGGTGGAACAAGCAATGGGTATTTCATTCTGGATTCGTCTACATGTGCCATAATAAATCAGCAATGTGCACAGATGCTCTCATACTCTTAAAGGTCGTTTCAGCTGAACACGCGTACGAGGAAGAGGATGCACATTCAAGCACCGCTGCCCTCCTCCCCCCCCGTATGAGGAAGAGCACGCACATGCAAGCACTGCTGCCCTCCTCCCCCTCCCGAGACCTTAGAGCTTTGCCTGAGAGTTTTGAGGAGGACTTTTGCATCAATGCAGGCTCGTGGACTCGTCTCACATTTGTCCATTTTGAGGGTGAATTGTTTGTCCGCCCACATTCTGAAGTTCTCTCTAGACCCAATCGTGGGATCGCAACCCTGTTTCCTCCCTCCCCCTTCCCTCTCCTCCCACTTCTTCCTACCTGTCCTTCTACAGCTGTGCTGCATTTGATCCATCCTCTCTTTGCTTTCTCTCTCAATGTCGCCATTGATCGTTTATGGTCATCAGACCTGAAGATTCACAGAATGAAGAAAGAGATGGAGTCATCGAGGTTCTGCAGGCCTACCCTCCTCTGGACAGCTTCAAAACACAAGGGCAAGTCATTAGGGAGGAAGAGGTGTTAAGGTAGGGTCCATCTGAAGGGGGCTGTTTTGTGGAGGCTCTGCGTATCTTGTGCAGGCAGTAATAGCTGCAATACCTAATAAATTGCGCATGAATGCACAGGCCCACAGGGTATTGAAGTCTTGGTTCCACAGCCCATCCCCTCAGAGTACAATGGCAGGTCGTTGCAGAGGAAGAGGTGTGTTCAGGTGCCGTGTGAAGGAAGATGTTGTGGAGGCTGTGTATTTTTTTTTGCATGCAGCAATACCTGATCAAGTGGACATGGGTGCGCGGGGGGCGCTCCAAGTCTTGTCTTTGTTGAGGCCCACCTGTAGAGCATGGCATGCATCCGCTTAAGAGCAGAGTCAGTCAGGGCACAATACTAAAAGGAAAGAATCTGAAAGTACTATGATTTGAGGTTTTGTGGGGATCCCACACAAAAGAAAAAGGGGTTTGCGGGGATCACGACGAAGCTAGTTTGGTCGGGTATGTGTTGGAAAAAACAGTTGATTGATAAGAAATCTGTGAAGTCCTGCTTTCACTCGTCGATGCTCATGAGTTGTTGCTTGGCTTTCAACCTATATACCTAGAGTCCTTCGTGGCAAGGCAGTACCAGAAGATGAAATGTACAGGGATTTAAAAAAAAAAAAAAAAAAACAACCCGACGCACTTGTCTTATGTGCATTGAAAATGGGTCAGCCCATGGCAATGGGGGTGGATGGGATGGAGGAAGGAGTTAGTTCGAAAAGGTGAAAGATGTATGAAAGAAAACAGCGCCAGAATGCACACAGATTCGTTGTATGTGACGACTGGGAAATTCAGCGGAACGGGTCATCAGATGATATTGGGGAGGGATAAGGTGCAGCCACAGAAGAACCCTAAGGGATCGATCCCGTGAGGAGTATGCCTCCTTGGCGGAAGGCAAATCTGGCTATATGCTGAAACCTCCGCCGAGTATCCAATAATGAATGCGTCGGTGCGGACAATCAGCAGGGAAGGAAGTCTAAGACCGTAAAGCCTCAACGACTGCACGCCAGACGGCGGAACTGATTCTAACGTCAAAGTGGTTTCCTAGTCCTCTTTCTTCTGTCAATGTTTGCGAGTGCAAGATTTGTCGCAATGACAGGTGTGCATTGTGCATGCAAATGCATCAACCAAGATGGATTGGATGATCTACACCCTTCTCCACAGGTGCTCAGCACTCATCTCTTTACTGCTTCACAATGTCCTCTTCGTTTCTTCCCTGCCCTCTCTCTCTCTCTCTCTCTCTCTCTCTCTCTCTCTCTCTCTCTCTCTCTCTCTCTCTCTCTCTCTCTCTCTNCTCTCTCTCTCTCTCTCTCTCTCTCTCTCTCTCTCTGTGTGTGTGTGTGTGTGTGTGTGTGTGTGTGTGTGTGTGTGTGTGTGTGTGTGTGTGCTTGCACATGCTAAAGCTATGTGGTCAGATGGATGTGCGAGAACCTCCTGTCCACCATGCTTACAAATGGTCTGTGAGGGTGACAGTGCCATATTCTCTTCTTCCCTGTCTACTCTCTTCATCGATTCCTTACTTGTTCCTAGGCACGGTTCGTGGTTGGTGTTTCTACGGTTGGGAGGCGTTGATTGCGCCTCTTCAACCAGATCCTACGAACCTTGCCAACGCTGTAATGACGGTATTGAGCCTGGAGAAGCCCTGGAGAAGCATGATTGGTGAGGGATATGTGCAGAGGAGCTTTGTGAGAAAATGGGGTCGGCCCGACGGGGTTCATTTGCTTGGCATGATGACGGCATGAACTTCGTTAAGAACATTCCGACTGCATGTGTGTGGCCAACTTGTGCCTTGATGATGATCTCATCATCATGCCTTTGGCACACCTGTTCTCCCGTAACCTGCCCTTTGTTCTGGCATGGCCTGCAGCAATTGCGTATCAAGCGATAGCTGCCAGTGAGTGTCCTCTGTTTTCCCGGCTTGCCACCATCCGCGGAAAGTACGTGGGGACCACCATCCTATTTTCAGCAAGCTTGCCAAGCTGGCAACGGCGAATGCTGAGCCTTCATCCCCAAAAGGCACACTTGCGCTACCCGGTTCACAGCAAGGCTCCAACATAAATGCAGAGGAGGCAGAGCAAGCAAAAGAAGACAATTCTCATGTGTCTGGTCAATTATTACGTACAAGTACTACAAGATAGCCATACAGATCAACGCGCGCAAGGGCACCACAGGACCCAACCCTTGTTCTAATATACGCATCCGTGATGAGTGGACTTTTGCTTAGCCTCACTGATGTCCCTATGTGTATGTGAGCTATATGATGCCCAAAGCAAATCTGTGCCGCTGTGTGCATTGGAAGGAGCAAGCGAACCAAGTTCATGACTTGGCACTCATAACTGAGAGCCAAGTTAGAAAGTTGTTTCGCGCCTCCTCCTCGGCTTCTGCCCCCTAAACATTTTCATTATCCTGCTGTCTTCACCCAACTCGAAAGCCTGCTCATTGTAGCTGTATTTGGCTTAAGTTTCAGTCCAGATGCAGCGGTAATTACCTGGCGTTCTAATAGGGTGAAGAGGGCAGCAGTGGCTCAGGCGTATGGTGTCGGCACGATGTCCACATGAACGGGAAGACTAAAAGACGCACAGTGAATGTCCTTCCCGGACGGGTAATGAGATATCATAACTCCAGCAGGTGTTGCTCCCCACCAATAGATGGAGCCTCCCGGAGCATGCTAGAGGTGGCTGCTCTTATCAGCACCTCTAGCATTCACTTGGGTTGTTTCTAGGGAAAAAGGAAAAAAAAAAGAAAAAAAAAAAAGAGATATCATTACTGCCAACACGTTCCGGAATATCTTTTGCCTGTGTCGTGCACTCAAATGGTAGCACAAACCTGGAAAGCGGTCCTAAGCTTTTCGAACGTGGACGTCTATGCAGCCATTTGTCATAGGGTAGCATCAGTCCTATGCTTTTTTATTTTTTATTTTTTTAACTGACCTGTATTTGCAAGGAATATGAGTGTGAACGATATACAGAAAACCAAGTTGCGAAATCACACAGATGTCCAAGTAGTTGTGTACAAGCAGAGAGCACAATTGCACCGAGATTCCATTCAAATAGAGCAATACAATGAAGTAATGAGCCAATGTTCAAGCCCTCAGGCCACACCAACACAGTATCCAATGTCGCTCCTCCCTGTTTGGCGTCCAGCACCCAGCCTACTCTACTCGACTATCCTACCTACAGCTGCGTTCACGCAACAGGCTCACTTCGACTCTCGAAGACCAATGTACATGATGTCAACACCATAGCCGACCTCACTTCATGCACCAGGTACGTATGTCGTCACTCTCATCCCACGCACTCGCCTCCTTCCCTGAAGACCACCTGATCGCCCTGTTACCCCCTAGCGCTCAGCAGCCCGGCTATGGCTGCCAGCGCTCCGCTGCCCTGCAGCGCACCTCCTCACCTCAATGGGCCCCGCACGTGCACTGGCCTTAGCACAGCATCCAATGCAGCAGCGCAGCAGCGTGACCGCATTGCCCGTGTAGGCCAGGATGCCTCGCCTGGGCTGCCTGTCTTTCTATATGGAAGTGCCAGCCTCCTGGATGCTGCGTGTGGCCTGGCTGGAAGCTTCCAGTAGCTTCCTGTTAGGCCCCAGTTCCTGTGCCCAGGCCAGAGACTAACTGGGCCCCTTTACAGTTGGGCACGGCCTGAGTCTCCGGACTTTGGCCGTTTGCTGCATTTGCACACGAGCTGCATTTGCACACGACCCTGGGGTAGGTGCGTCGACAGTACTGCTTTTGCATAGGCCTGTGGCCACTGCAAGATGTATCGGTCCTGCTTTGTGTGTACGTGGCCAGGCGCAACTAAGGCCTGGGCCAACTGTACGACGCAGCTTAGTGAGGCTCTGTCTCTTATACACATCTAGATGTGTATAAGAGACAGGTGTGTGTCTGTGTGTGTGTGTGTGTGTGTGTGTGTGTGAGAGAGAGAGAGAGAGAGAGAGAGAGAGAGAGACATTGTCTCAGCACAATTGTGTTTAAGACCGTTATCATTACCTGTAAATCAACTATCATGACGCTGTGGAGGCAGAGGGAGAAAGAGGTGAGAGGGGAGGTACTGTGGGGGGAAGAGTTGCTGTAAGAGGTGGATGGGGAGGGTGAAGTGGAGAAAACGGGGTTACAGTCACAATAGAAGATGGAGGATGACCCTTGTGAAGAGAAGAAGGAGAAGGAGGGTGAGGACGAAGTGGGGAAAATGGGGAAATAGTGGTTATAGGAGGGGGGGGGTATGACAGGAAAAGATCTGCAAGAGGAGTGGTAGAGAGTTTTCATAAGAGGGGAAGGGTGCAGGGGTTGAAAGGGTAGAAAAATGGTGATAGGAGGGGAAAGGATGAGGGTGGGGAACGGGGAATGGATTTCAATAGGAGGGGGAGAGGGGAGTGATGAAAAGGGGTAAAGCCTCTCAATAGGAGAAAGAAAGGGGGGAAAGAGGAAAGTATTAGCAACAGGGAAATAGTGGTATTCGGAGAGGGGGGATATGGCAGGGAAAGTTCTGCACGAGGAGTGCTGGAGAGTTTTGATAAGAGGGGAAGGGTGTAGGGGTTGAATGGGTGGAAAATTGGTGACAGAAGGGGTAAGGGCGATGTTGGGAAATGGAGTTCGATTGGAAGGGGGAGAGGGGAGTGAGGGAAGGCGGGAAAGCCTCATAATAGAAGAGAGGGGGGGGGAATCCCAAAGGGGAGTAGAGCAATATAAAGAGTAGCGATAGCTGGGAGAAAGGTTCTCAATGGGAAGGGAGTGTGAGAGGGGGGAGAAGTGGAAATATTTGCAATAGATGGTGGGGGAAAAATGTGACGGCGGAAGGGAGGGAAGCGGGTGGCAAGCAGGCATGATGGGGAGGAGGAGAGTGGGGGAAGAGGGGTTGCGATAGGAGGAAGGGGAACGGAGAAAGGGGCCAAGTGTCATGACAGGATGAGAGAGAGAGAGAGAGAGAGAGAGAGAGAGAGAGA